TGTACAGTTTTCCAGGGATAATAAAAGCACATTCCTGACACAGAAACCATCACTTGCTAAATTTCAAGACCTGGCCCAAGACTTAGTGATGTTAGAGCTTCTCAATTAGACAGTTGTCGTCTTTTTTTTTTTTTTTTTTTTTAAACATGCTGTTTGTCAAGGTCCTTGCCCAGGCCCCTAGCCTTGGAATCTCTTCTTCATCCACAAATCAACTGGAGACCCTTTCTGGTGCAATCACCCTTGCCTTTTATTGTCTGTGCCAATTTCCCACCACCTTTTAGTTACAGAGCATTGTTTCTCATTCTTGTATCAAATTCGGCTACTCTCTCCCTCTGGCTGGGGAGCACACTCAGCCACTTTATGGCTTCCCCCTTCCATGTCCCCTCTGTCTGCCTTATCTATCCCTCTGGCTAATGAGGCTTTCAGCCGCTTCCTGTTAGCCCCTGAAGCATGTGCTTGCTCATCTGGCTTCCATTGCCCTTTTCAGCCAGGCTGTATGGCAGAGCTCTGGCTTAGTCTGCAGTCTTGTCATTTCATAACACTGTGTTTTTTCCTAACACCATTCCTATATGTGACTGAACTGTTGTAGTTGAAATGTAAATTCCTTCTGAGGCGGACATGTAATATGCTAATTTTATCCCAAATGGCTAAAGTTTGGAAAAATTAGTAACTGAAAATGGGAGTGTTATAATGGAAAGTGGAGGGTATTCCCTGCACCATCCCAATAGTACATTTTTATGCAATTAGATTCCTTTTTTCTCCCTCTTTTTCTGTCCCTGAAATCAAAAAGCTTGTTTTTCAAACAAATGGCTTTTACTAATAGAAGGGAGGGAACCCTCTCTAAATAACATTTTTAAATTTGCTTTGTAGCATCAGGAAATGTTTAACTTTTAATAGTCTCTTTAATATGAACTTTGTTTTTTGGTGACTAAAGAAGGTGGAGAGACAATTAGTCACATTTTGGCCTAGCAGCTGTTCAAAGAATGGAGACCATTAAATAGCATCAATGGAAATTTTAAATTTAAATACAAATTCATGTCTTAGCTGGTACGGATTCATTTGCATATGTTAAATTTACTCTTGAAAATCTGATGTTTGGAAAGAGTTTTACTGAAGAGATTGTCAGATGTGCATCAGTGAGCCCTTCTAGTTTGTAGGCAGCAATTGGCAGTAGGTTCATCTCAGTGACATGACAGTATGCAGGGTTCGCAGATAGTTTCATAATTATTGTTAGCACATTTCTTGAAAGAAGTGATGAACGTCTCACAAAACCCAGATGGGAGTATGTTATATTGTTGATAAATGTGTTTTTACATTTTGAAATTGATAAAACAGTGAAAAACAGAAAAGATACAATAAGGCAGATGGTTGTTTATATAACCACTGGCAAGTTGCTTTGATTTAAAGAATGTTACTTACACTTAAATTAAAAAATAGGGTGGGTGTTTCAATGGGTTAGTCATGAGTTTCTTAAAATAAAACCTTTGGAAACTTTATCTCAATTAGAATTGGAGCCATTTTGGCTATCCTACGTCTTGCATCCTGGCTGATATCGAGTATGTCGGCACTTATACATCTGCAGATACCATTTTCGTGCAGTTGGAAGACTTGAGGATGAAGAATAAGTGTGAAATCTTCAGCTGCTTCATAGCATGGTCATGGTAGATTTGAAGTAGCATGTAATCTCTTTCACCCTTCAGGGTATTTTATTTTAGTTTTTTTTTCTTTTGAAACATACTATCTAAATTTAGTTTTACCATGGCATTTTAGTGCTTTTAATAAAGCAGATATTGCACAGCAAAATAAGCTTTATTTCTCATATTAATAGTTCACATTGCCTAACAATAACTAGATGGCAGAATCATTCTTTGTACAGAGGAGAAAAGTAAGGATATGAAGTCTGCCCACTATTTGTGGGAGAAGTGGTGAACATACATGCTGCTTCTTTATTAGATAGTTGGAAAATAAAAAAATTATAAAAGGTCAGTTCTTAAACAGAACTGCAGCAAACTTCACTTTTTTTTAGTTTTCTGAAAATATCTAGAGAGGTTATAGAATCTTTATCTCCAGAGATATTTAAGAGCAGGTTGGATGGCCATTCCATCAGTATCGGCTGATCAGTGTAGCAGAAATACCCAGTTAATGTGCTGGTTGTTGGATATGGTAGGGGAAGTGAATCAGGTGGACACTGTCACAGCTTGGTTAGGTCAAAACCAAAAACCTCCTATCTTCATCCCAAAAATATACGTTCCCATTTCTTCCTGTTTGCAAGTGGGAGGGAAAGTAGAAAAGCATTTATTTCCTGGAGCCAAAAGCATTAACTGCTTGCCAGAACTCCAAACTTACCTGTGAAAGTTTTCACTTGTTTTAACCTAGTTGCCAAAACTTCCAGCTTTCTTCTGACAACTTTGGCAGTGCAGTTATACGTTGTCAATGTGAACTTCTCGGGCATATGGTAAAATAAAATGTGTTCATTTTGATAAATTCAGTAGAAACTGTGGATACCATTATTGATCTTTATAATTTTTATATTTAAACTAATACTGCCATAGAATGTCAAGCCTGCCCTTTTTAGGTTTTAGTATTTAGGTTCAGCTTGCCACAGTGTAAAGATGTCTTGATTATATTTTTATTTCTGGTCTGATTTTTTTAAACTTCCAGCAGTTTTCTGGAGAAAATGAGAGAAGCTGAGATCTGGTCTCTATTGCAGACCTATATTTGTATAATTATATTATTCATGGGTGAGAAAATCCACACATCTGAGAGACTTAGTTGTACAGACCTAATCCTCCTTTCTCCATGTAGATTGACAACGTAGCTACCATTTCTTGGGGTAGCAGATTAACTACAGAGCTCTCTCCCATTGGCTTGGAGCATCTACATTAAAGCACTACAGGAGCATAGCTGAATTGGCTCAATTGGTCTGATCCAGTGTTTTAAGTGTAGACGTCCTCAGAAAACAAG